GTTTGCCTTGAAGAAACAGACGCAAGAAGGGTTGCTATCACGAAGTAATAGCCCAAGCCCCTACCCCAGCCACTGGTCACAGCAATGGCTTTACCTAAAAAAAAAAAAAACTCCTGGTTTATGAAAATTTGTCAAAAGTATTTTCTTTGGGGAAGGGAGAAGCCCAACATATAGACCCAGTATAAATGACCTGATTTCAAGCAAAGGGTAACCAGATGAAGAAGAAATATTATAGCTATCAACACCGGCTTACTATCTAAGAACTCTACTCTTGCTCAAACAGGAGAGATTTTATCCACCGCTAAGTAACTAGACAAACAGCTACCCCAATGGCCCAATACAAAAGAAACTCAAAACTAAAAAGTGCTCCAAAAATCTGACTTACCCATCTTTTAAATCAAGATTGCATTAAGAAAAAAAAACCTACCGAGCCCATTTTATGCATGGATACCCCAAATCAAAGAGATGCTAAAGTTACCATCACTTAAGAATGATCAGGGTTTGTTCCAAAGCTGAGCCTGGCAGCCATGTTTCAAACTAAATCTTTGGAATAGTCATGAATTAAGAAAGTGGGGGGGGGCGGGACACGACACAAGATGAAAGTCTTCTCTTAAAACTGTTCTTTTTAATAATCATCCTAGTAGGGATTATCTACAATTTGAGTTTCCAGTCAGAGGATCAAAAGAAAACTGGGCAAGCTGTCAACATATACACAGGAAGTGCATTTTAATAAAAGAGGACAAGAAAGGAACAAAGAATAACCGACAGTGTTAGTGAAACAAACTGCACGAGAGTGGCAGAGTTACAGTGCTTTTTCCTTTAAGAGTAAAGATGAAAAATCTGAGCATGGTAGCACACCCTAACCCCAGTGAGGTTAGAGGATGGTTAAACTTGAGCCCAATCTGAGTTACATACAAGCCTGTATCAAAATCAAGAACATGCTTCAAAGCACAGCCTTTCTTTGAAACTCACAATTGATATTCTGAAATTGAAAAACAGTTCTAAAAGCCCTAATAAAATAAAAGAAGCAACTTTTACAATAAAGGTTAAAACTAAATTCTCAATCTTTCACCTAAGAAATTTCTAATAATGTCAAAGAATTTTACTGGCAAATGAATTAAAAAACAATCTAAATACAGCAAATTCTTTACAATGTAATGACTCTAATGCACCCAAACATGTATATTAAAGAGATGAGAAGGGGGCTGGAAGAATAGCATAGTGGTTAAGATCACTGGCTACTCTTCCAGAAGTCGGGTTCTATTCCCAACATTCACATGGGAGATCACAATTACCTGTAACTCTTCTGGCCTCCAAGGTACCGAGCATACATGTGTTACACATAGCTACATACCTACACACACACACACACACACACACACACACACACAGAGACGAACACTCATTTAAAAAAAAAAAGTAAAAATAATTGGGGGGGGCTAGAGAGATGGTTCACTGGTTAACAGCACTGACTGTTCTACCAAAGGACTTGAGTTCAAATTCCAGTACCCACATGGCAGCTCACAACTGTCTGTAATTCCAATTCCAGGAGATCTGGCACCCTCACACAGACATGCAAGCAAAACACCAATGCACATAAAATAAAAATAAAGTTTTGCCAGGCATTGGTGGCACACGCCTTTAATCCCAGCACAAAGGAGGCAGACTCAGGCAGATCTCTGTGAGTTCAAAGCCAGCCTGGTCTACAGAGCAAGTTCCAGGACAGCCTACAAAACAATACAGAAAAACCGTCTCGAAAAACAAAAAATAAAATAAAAAAATAAAAATAAAAAATAAACAATTTTAAAAAATGACTAGAAGGATGGGTTCTCTAGCAGCAGAGTGATAAATAATTTCACATGAAAAGTCAAAATTCTATCCTAACAAAATAGGTAAACAGGTAAACTTAATAAATCTAGGCTGCGGATCATCAAAAGAACAAAGATAGGCAATTAGTTATTTACAGGCCATAATAGACTACCCTGACATTTCCCCGGGGTAGGGGAACTTTAGGACATAACAAATTAGGGGGAAAAATGCAACTAAGAAACAAGCAACAAACACATTTAAGACAGAGTCACTCACTGATAAATGCCCTAATCTATAAGTCTGTTGACTCTTGGAGTTCCAAAAAGGAACTGACTCTTTTAAATCTAAACTCACATTTCCTTCATGTAAGCAAGCAAAAAAGAGAATATACCCAACTGTAATAACCTGAAAGGGAAAAGACCAGTCAGGTAAATTACCATGACTCAACACAAATTTTTTTTTCTTTGTTTTTTGAGAAAGGGTTTCTCTAGCTTTGGAGACTGTCCTGAAACTCGATCTGTAGACCAGGCTGGGGCCAAACACTGCCTCCCCTGTGCTAGGATTAAGGGCCGCCGCCGCCTGGCTCATAAAAAGAACTTTCTTTAGTCCCCAGTGCTCAGGGCAGAGGCAGGAGGACCTGTGAGCTTGAAGCCTAGTCTAACCAGGGCTGTTGTTACACTAAGAAACCCTGTCTTGAAAAATCACTCACATACTTGCACACACCACAAAAGAAAGAAAAATGCTTGGGGCTTGGGGAACACACACCTAGAAGAGGCTAGAGGCAGAAAAATGCCTTGAGCCTAACTTGGGTATATAAAGAAAGGAAGCTAAGAAATGGCCTCCAGTTGTTGCTCTGTAGCAGAACACTTTAGGTGGATAGCCCTGGACTCCATCTTTAGCACCATATTTTTAAGAAACATGACATTAAGGGATATAGTATAAAATTAACTAAACATAGGTTAGCATCAGAGCCCCCGAGTTTCAGATACCCAGTTATAATATTTGCCCTCAAACCACCACGCTCTCTTCCCCTTACACACGTAACAGCCACCAGTAGACACCACCTGTTTTGTGATTAAAACCAAGTATTATACAGAACCCTCCACAAAAAGTCTTTGCTGCTTCCAATTAAGTTGTTGACAAAATAACTCCCAGCTTTCCAATTAAAAACGGAAAGCAAACTAGACCAGAGAGACCTGTGACATTTTTAGTAACACACAGTAATGCCCATGACACAGGGCACTTATCACATGAGGGAGGGAAGAGGAGAGGTGTCATCAGACTCTCAGGTTCAATTTAAGGGAAATAAACAAAGGTGACAGTAAAGCACTGTTCAACAAAAGTAGTATTGTAAAAAAGAACCAGCACTACTTTGTGTTAATATAGCCAGAACCCAGGTTTGAAATATAATTCTGGGGGGAATCTGCACACATGCTGTACACATACACACCACACACACCACACTCAAGCAACACACATAAAGTTAAAGATTGAAGGGGGAAATAATACAGTTATGGGTTTGGTGGGATGGTTCAGCAGTTAAGAGCACTTTCTGCTCTTCCAAAGGACCTGAGTTCAGTTCCTAGTACCTATATCATCATATGGCTGACAGCCACCTGGCTCCAGTTCCAAGGGATCTGACACCCTCTTCTGACTTCAGTAGGCCACACATAAATATTTCAAAATCTGTGTGTGTGTATTTTCCCCCTTAAGAAATACAGCTATGAGTTCCAGGATCATGCTGTAAATTCGAAGTTTGTCAGAACCTTAGGAAAAACTGTTTGACTCTTGGAACCTAAAATCATGGGAAGAGTTGAAAGTTCACCTGGCAATTCAACAGTCTTTTAAATGCCACTCTTGACAAGAAAGTTTTGATCTTAAAATAAAACTAAATACCTTCCAAATCAATCGATAGTCCACATCAACACCGAAGCTGCCCTCAGGGCACAAAAACAATTCAGCTAACCAGGGCTTCACAATAACACCCAACCCCCCCCCCAGATGTCTAAACCAATCTAGTCACACATGCACATGAAACTGACTGGAAGACATGCCATTTATTGCTCCAAATCCCAATACCTCCTTCACTAGATTCTTAAAATCAGTCTTTTGATTCTAAGTGGTTTTCAAAATGTAACTCCTTGGCACAGGTGCAAAGCAAAATTAACTAGAGCCACAACCTTTCAAAAGCTTGTTATTTTTACTGAAAAAAAAAAAACTGGGACAAGAGGGAAGCTTAACCCAAATTCTTACATGTTGCTTTCTCTAGATTTCCCTCTATTGAGTGCAACACAATGGTGATGCTGTGTTGAGTCAAGTAAAATCAGAGTAAAGCACTTTGCTCTGTAAAAGACGGAAAAAGAAGACAAAGTCTTCAGAGAAATGATCTCTTCCCCCCAAGGGTTTCTCTGTGAAATAGTTCTGGCTGTCCTGGAATTCATTCTATAAGCCAGGCTGGTCTTGAACTCAAGATTGGCCTGCCTCTGCATCCTGGGGACTGGGATTAAAGGCGTGCACCACCACCACTGCGGGGCAGAGAGAAAGGATTTCAGAACAGGCTCAAAAGCCTTAAAGGTTACAAATGAAAACCAACTGTGTTTTTTTCCCTCCAAAACCACCATTCTCCTTTTTTTTTTTTTTCCGAGACAGGGTTTCTCTGTTTTGTTTTGGAGGCTATCGGTCCAGCCCAGCCTCAAACTCACAGAGATCCGCCTGCCTCTGCCTCCCGAGTGCTGGGATTAAAGGCGTGCACCACCACTGCCCGGCCCATTCTCCATTTTAAGAAATTCATCACCCATTTCCTGCATTCGTTCTGAAGGTCAATGGACTGGACAAAGAAGCCTTTGTCATCTGACTTGTCAGCTAGGCCTGACCACCTGAGTTCCATCCCTGGGACCACAAGGCAGGAGAGCACAGACCCTCCTCCCAAATTATTCTCTGGTCTCCATATACATGCTATGTCTCTCTCTCTCTCTCTCTCTCTCTCTCTCTCTCTCTCTCTCTCTCTCTCTCTCTCTCTACACACACACACACACACAATAATGAATAAACATAAAAAAATTTGCTGAAGAAATGCATCTCTCACCATCAGGCAGCAAAAAGCTTTCTATCCCAAACCCTTTCTTTACTCATGCAATTTCTTCCTAATAACCTTGTGTTGAGCTCTCTACCACCAAAAGAAAGTGGTTCACCTTGAAACTCTGTGTTGTCAAGGCCCCTGATGGCCTCCACTGCATCCTCTGCCCGCTCCATGTGTACAAAGGCATAATCTTTCACGATGTCACATTCGATGACTGGGCCATACTCCTCAAACTTGGCCCGAAGCTCTTGGTTGGTACAAGTGGGGCTGATGTTGCCCACATGCAACTTGGTTGAGGCTTTGCTCTTATTCTTGCTGGCTTCCACATTGATGTTCACTCCGTGCAGCTTGTAGTGGTGCAGGTTGCGTATGGCATCCTCAGCGGCCGTCTTGTCCTCTATGTGCACAAAGCCATAGTTCTTAATGATGTCACATTCCAGCACCTTCCCGTACTGCTCGAAGAGTGAGCGGATCTCTTGCTCTGTGGCCTCCCGGGGCAGATTTCCAATGAACAGCTTCACCATCTCCACAGCCTGAAAGTAAATGACAAGATTTTCAAAGGAAGACCTAAGTCCATAGCAACTACCAGATAGATAGACAAGATAGATAGAGATATACATAGATCACTGCTATCACCTCTTTTTCCTCTAGTATATTATGCCAAAAAACAATCTTATGGGTGTGCCTACACTCACACATCTCCAAACAATAACCAATGGGAAGTTCAACAAGAGTGCCTGCTATACTCCCCACAAGAGGTCTCTAACAGGGCAGTCTTTTGTGTTGCCGGGCATCAAATCTACAATACAGCACAGCAATTACAGGCAAGAGTTCTGCCACTGGGTTACATCCCCTGCCCCAGAGGAAAATAGGGCTGTAATTTCTGAGTACAAACGAAAGCTACATACACTGAGCATTTCAGCGCACTATGATGACAATTAGAAAACAAGATCCTAACCATTAGACTTTAATTAGCTCTTCCTTTCTTAGCAACTGTTTCTGGAAACGTGGGCCTTGCAGTAGCTAAGTTTAGACCTTTCCTTAGGAATAGTGAACACTGGTATCAACCAGACAAAAAGTATGGGAAATACAGAAAAGTGCCCCAGTAAGGGAAATCCTCTTGGGAGATACATCATTACAATGAAGCTCCTACAGAACGAAAATCTGCCTGGTCAAAGATGGGTGCTATAGATTAATGAGGCAACAATGCCCTGGGGCATGAGAAATTCTCATCTCTAAATCTAATCGTTATCTAGGCGGAAACCCCTAAATAGGAAAGTGAATAAACTAGAGGATAAAGTGGACAAAAGGAAGGTATTCCAGAGACTGGGGGTGGGGACTTGGGGGAAGGCTGCTTCAGGCTTACCGCACAAAGTCGAGGACCGAGGTCAGCTCTCAGTGACAGGGGCGCAGACCGCGACCCCACTAGAAAAACCCTGACGCCCAAGGAAGTCGGTTAAGTTTTAACTGAGTAACGAACACAGTAGGAGGACTTGGAGTCTCTCACCACATGGAAATCTGCAGGTCCTCCTCCTCGCAGCGCGGAAGGTTCTGACAAAATGCTAAAATGGCGGCGGCCACAGCAGTGACTCTGGGTAGAAAGGGGAGGGGTGAACCTACCAAGGGATTGGACGTTCGGTAAAGTTAAAGGCTGGCGTTCCCGGCGATCCTCTTCCTGATTGGTTACCGCGAACGCCAATTACCTGAGAGGCCAGGAAGAGGTGGAAACGTCAGTAACCCGGAGCTTTTATATGAAAGCCAATGAGTACCCAGCCTAGTGAAACCGAAGCCGCTGATTGGGCAAAAGGTCCATGTGAGGGAGGAGCTACAAACGTGGGTTTCTTCGAAGTGCGGCCCGCCATTAGGCAGAATAAGCTAGAGTCTCAGTTTAGCAGTTAGTAGCTTCATGACCTCAACTTTTTACAACTTGCATATTCCACCATTTCCACGTGCACACCCTAACAGAATTCAGTCCTCTATTCCAAGATTTCGCATCCCTTCTCAACTGAACGTTACTACCCCCCTCATCATGGATGCTGCATCCGTCCAGTTTACACAGACCTTGGTTCAGCCTACATAGACCTCTGGCAATAAATAGCCAAGCGCCCGCTCCTACTTAAAATCAACCTGTGTCCACATTGGGCAATTTCTACTTTAGCCCTCCTGAGTGCCATAAACTACCCAGAAATTAAGACTAGGTAGTAGAAGAACTTCCAAACAGTTCGTAGATCCAGCTACAATTACGGTGTAATGACCCAGAAATAAGCCACCAGAGATCTAGGAAGCGCTGGCATTAAAGATCCCTCTAGGTAACTGCCTCCCGCCGCCCAAAAATGGTGTGTAAACACGAAAACTGAAAACTGATCCCCATCCCAACCTCACCCCAAGAGAGAGGGGGGGAAAGCAACAAAAAACAAAAACACAAAAACGGGAACAGCAAAAGTTTGGTTTGGTTTTGTTTTATTGGGTGCCATCAACCAGAGCTTTAAATTTAAACTCCCTAGAACTGACCTTAGAATAGGCTTTGTCACAATCAGCTGTAAATAAGTACAAACGAACATTCTTCACAGGGTCTAATTCCCTCATCACATTTTTCTCACCCACTGGCTGTTTCACAGAATCCCATACTCAATGAGCAACTTTTGTTATGACCCTTTGCAAAGCAGATTTTGAAGACAGGGATAAAAGGGAAAAGTGCTGAATGGATAACTTAAACATGAATAGGCAGAAAGCAGAGTAACTTCGTGAGAACAGGATGGTCAGGGGTGAAATAACACAAACAGCATACTACCACCCAAAACTTAAACACACCTTAAAACAAAAAGTAGAAGACAGAAAATAAGCCTAACTCAGTGGCAGAAAACCAGTCAATTTAAATAGGGGAAAAGTTATCTTTTTTTAAGATTTGTTTATTTATTTTATTTATTTTTTTTGGTTTTTCGAAACAGGGTTTCTCTGTGGCTTTGGAGGCTGTCCTGGAACTCACTTGGTAGTCCAGGCTGGTCTCGAACTCACAGAGATCCACCTGCCTCTGCCTCCCGAGTGCTGGGATTAAAGGCGTACGCCACCAACGCCCGTGATTTGTTTATTATGTGTTCTGTCTGCATGTACCCCTGCAGGTCAGAAGAGGGCAGCAGATCTCATTATAGCCACCATGTGGTTGCTGGGAATTGAACTCAGGACCTCTGGAAGAACAGCCAGTGCTCTTAACCTTTGAGCTATCTATCCAGCCTCGGGAAAAGTTATCTTTAAGAAGTTAAAATATAGCCGGGCGTTGGTGGCCCACGCCTTTAATCCCAGCACTCGGGAGGCAGAGGCAGGCGGATCTCTGTGAGCTCGAGGCCAGCCTGGTCTACAGAGCGAGTTCCAGGACAGCCTCCAAAGCCACAGAGAAACCCTGTCTCAAAAAAAAAAACCAAAAAAAAAAAAAAAAAAAAAAAAAAAGTTAAAATATACCTGCCTCAACAAGATGATGGGACAGACTTAGTAGGCTTCCTAGGGGAGGCCCTCTCTTGTGGAGCAGATGGGAGGTAGGGTGAGGGAGGAAGTGGGAAGAGAGGGGGTAGCAAGAGGAGAGGACAGAGGGGGACCTGGGATTGGAATGTAAAAATAATAATAATAAAAGGAGAGGGGAATGTGTTTTTTAAAAAAGTTAAAATATAGCTAGACAGCTCATGACTTTAATCTCAGCACTCGGGAAGCAAAGCCAGATGAGTTCTAGGGCAGCCTAGAACAGACTGAGTTCCAGAATAGCCAGGGCTACACAGAAAAACCCTCTCAAAAAAAAAAAAAAAAAAAAAAAAAAAAAAAGCCATGGTTCATTTCACTCTGATGCACTTGAGCCTAAATAAAAGTCACCTGAGATCAGTAATCAATATAATCAATTCTACTGTCCTTCACTGGGCCTTTCTGAGGAGGTCTAACACTACCTTCCTTCCCACAACTCATATGCATCCAGAAATGCATATGGTACAGAAATCCTTTTCTCTCAGTTCAATCCTCTAGGTTTTCTTATACTAAAATCCCTGAAAACCTTGCTATAGCATACAAGGCCAATTCATCTACTAAACTAGAATCTCTACAGGTTCGAAGTAAGAGACTGGTAACAATTCAAGGATCACAATTCATGTCCGTGTGCAGGCATTAGGACTACCAGACCTCACCCTATGACCAACCCCCAAATTGAAATCACCTCCTTGGTTTTTGAAATCTATTAGTTGACTAGGCAATACCAGTGCATAAGAGGAAGAGGCAATTGAGTCTCTGCACGTTCAATGCCAGCCTGGGGTCTACATTCCAAGTTTCAGGCTAACCAAGCCTACATAGTTTGATACTGTGGGTGTATTCAAACTTCTTCATGGCCTAACAATCTACCCAACCTGGTTCTCACTACATTCTCAGTTTTCTTGATCAGCCCTCCAGATAAAGACTGGCTTTTATCATCCCTAGCTATTCAGAATAGAAAATTCTTCAGATCTTTCACTGGCCACTCCCATCTAAAGGCATGGACCCAACCTTGTAACTCATCACTTCATGCTACTTTTGCAAATAATTACTATCACTTGAAATTCTACCTTGTTCATTTTTCCATATTATATACCCTCAATGTTGGAACTACTCTGGTAACATAAAAGACATTCAAATATTTGTTGACTAAGAAACCAATGCATGAGATAACTTATCATGTTAAGATCTTGGGACACAGGTATGCTGGCTGGAGAGGTATATTGCTCAATGATAAGAGTCTAACATGTGTGTGAAAGTCCTTAGTTTAGAATCCCAGTGTGAAAGTCCTTAGTTTAGAACCCCAGTACTTCAAGGAAAAAGTTATCAGTACTGTTGTTAAGCGTATACCCTTATTCTTATCACTACCTAGAATAAAGTTCCAATCTCTTTCAAAACAAAATCTGGTAATCAAGTCATCATAACGTTGACAAAAGCAAAATGAAACCTTAGGCAAAGAGGTTAACTATAGACCAAGTGTCTTCACACAGCTTACTCACAGATAAACTTGGTGTTTTTCCTAAAAAAAAAGAAAAAGAAAAAAAAATTAAGGTACCTAATTAAACCCTCTACCTTATCTATAATCATACCTACAGAAGCACTTTCACTGCCTGAACCATTTCACTGTCCTGGAATACTATTTTTAAATCATCTTGTCTGTCAGGGTTAGGGAATGTAGCTCAGTCACAGAATACCTGCCTAGCAAGAAGGTTCTGGCCGGGTGTTGGTGGCGCACGCCTTTAATCCCACCACTCAGGAGGCAGAGGCAGGCAGATCGAGGCTGGGCTGGACGACAGCCTCCAAAACAAAACAGAGAAACCCTGTCTCGTAAAAACCAAAAAAAAAAAAAAAAAAAAAAAAAAAAGGTTCTGAGTTCACTCACCAGCAGCATGACAAAAAATAAAAAATCCTCAGCCTTTCTAGTGCTAGATAGAATTATAGCCACAAGTCAATAATATATCCATCTAATAATTTACACTTCTAGTAAATAACTGGTCCCTGGTCCAAAAAATGAGTTACAAGTTTGACAAAGGTTCAAATTAAAAACCAGTATCCTTCAAGGATGTTCACAGGGCGCCAACAGACTGACTGAAACCAAGTGTGCCCACTCCAATCCCACTGTCAGCTATACTACTTCTACCCCCTCACATTCAAACTTCTTTATTTTCCATAATCAAGAATGTGATCCGTGAACACAAAATAGTGTCACCAGAGACTAAAACTGGTATGGTCTAGTAGCTTAAGCTACTGCTATGCACCACTCACAGCAAAAATTTAGATTTCAATGACTTGTATGTGCTGCATTCATACCTATATCCCATGTGCTTTGCACAACTAAGTGCTTCACTAGGTCATCTCAGTGTCCCCAAATTCTAATGGCTCATTATTAAGATGAATTTCTTTCTGTGTATGTGTGAGCCTGTGAGAATTCATGTGTACCATGTATGTACAGGACCCACAGAGAGCACCAGATGCTCTAAAACTTGAGTTAAGTGTTGTGAGCTGCCAAGTAGGTTCTAAGAACCAAACCCAAGTCCCACTGCAAGAGCAGAAAGCACTCAACCAATGAGTCATGTCTGTAGCCATGAGGGATGAAACTTAGTAACTGATTACAATATACTCATTTGTCATATGTTCACTCACTATTTCCAACACTAATATGGAATAATAATCACAAGAGAGGCAATTCATTCTGGTTTTAATGAACATTAGCATATAAAAATTAGTGATAACTTTAGTACCAAAAACTATTTTACATTTCTGAGTTGGTTAATAAAAAAAATGACTCTTTTTGTTTTGTTTTTTGGAGACAGGGTTTCTCTGTATTGTTTTGGAGGCTGTCCTGGAACTTGCTCTGTAGACCTAGCTTCAAACTCAGAGATCCACCTGCCTCTGCCTCCCAAGTGCTGAGATTCCACCAACACCTGGCTAAAAAAATGACTTTTAATGAAATACTTAGAACCATGATCATTGTTGGATGAGTAACAGTTCAGCTGATATAGTGCTTCCCAGGAAGGAGTCCCTAGAGTCATTCAAGTCCCAAGCACCATATAAACTGGGCATGGTAGTAGCTGTCAGTAAACATAGCACTTGGGATGTAAAGAC